TTAGGGGCGGCCAAACCAAAACGTGGCATCAGTGCCTGAAGTCACTAACTTGTAGTCTGAGCCATGTTGGTAGATGCAGACTACTTGATTGGGGTCCGCGTGACTGTCGTAACCAATGGTTGGAGACTCTTGGTGACATGGCTTAGAATCGGTCACAATGACGTCGGTGTATACACTCTCTATCTTTCCTTAAACTAAGAGATTAAAATTGCTTCATATATTTCTTTCTACGAACTGATTCTTTCTTCCTGTACTATATCCTTATACAAAATCCTTCTTTTATATATTACCACCTCTGAATTAACCACTTATATGAATGCGGTGTCCATCTTGTTGTGTTAATGAGGTATGGCAACTTGGACCGATGCATATATGTGCCTGGTCCTACGTTGTGGCTGACTGAATGTCTCAAGTAAACGGAAAAAAAGAAATGTCACTATATATGCAGTAAACATGTGGGAACTTTCATATACGACGATATATAGATGAAAGGAAATCCCAATTGGTTGACTTTATTTCCTGTCTCATAGCTTCACTGAGAGTCTTAACTATCCAACCTACTAGTTTTCAAATGATCCCGGAATTTACGAATTTTAACCTAGGACCTAGATAAACGACCATGTCGAGAGCTTTACTTGTGTTCTCAAAATAACACCCATTGAGATATTTCTCTTTTGCTGCAGTTCAGCCTTCTCTTGTAATCAGAAGACTAGACAGTCTTGATAGATGCTTTCCGAAATCATGTTCCATTACCATAATACGATCTTCATGAGGCATTGAATACCTACCTGAATAAGTTCCTCGACTAGTTTTATCGACTGCAATAATTCCTTAATTTTTCCAGTTACTTGAGAGTCTTGACAGCTTTCGTAGTATATCACATGGCACTGATAATACTTTACCACCAACGGAGCTGCCAAATGATGAGGATGGATATCATCAAGATGACTCAACTTATCTCGCTCAAAACTTAAAGTCGGTCTCATGAAGAATGCTCTTCCGGTAAGCACGACTGTTGGAACAACGTTTTCCCTTTCACCTCAATAGGAGAAAAACGCGTGACCCACATAATTTGACAAAACATTAGCTTTATGGCTGGTATGAATGAACATCTCTGGACTAAAACTGGCCTTATTGCATCGCTTTTTCGATTTTTCCTCTTTACATACGGTAATGACACTTAAGGGTCGTTTAAAGAATCACGCAGCAGTTGTTCCTTACATATCTATAGGATTTCGAGGAATTTTTTGTTATATATGATGGACACTTATTAAGCCTACGTGATTTAGTCACGCTATAAATTGGGACACGATTGAGCTAAGTGTATACTTTAACTAAAGACCATGCTTCTTCAACAGAAGAGTTAATACTGTCAAGCAGCCTGTCAAAACGCACAATGATTAATGTTCAAAATGTTCCCACGTTATTGATTTGAGTGAGGTTGATACTGATCGTAAATACTGTACCGAGCTCTAAACCTGAAACACGAGACTTCAAAACATCTACATGATAACGGTAGGAGAACATGTAGACAGGCAATATCCTTGGTTTCATGACTACTCACAAAGTCAATCAAAGTAGCCACATAATCTGAATAAAAACGACTTTCAGTCAATGCCGTACTACAACTTACTCTATCAGAGTCATGGGTGGGTTCAGTATCGAATGTTCAGTCGGATTCTACTGAAGGTGGTCCCTTTTGACTGAAAACGTTTGAAACCAGACATCGTTCATATTCGCTCTATACCATAATGAAACTGAATGTACCTTGCCTATGATTTACCACTGGATGGTCGATAAAAGTGGTAATGTTCAAAGAAGAGAAAAATGTAAACTTCATTGTTATTGCAAACCCCAGCAACACAGAATTTGTATTTCTATGTGTCCCTTTTATCAAATGCTCCTGAACGGCAAGAAATCCTGGCGCAGCAATAGAAAGTGCCGAGGTAGACCATGAGGTGACTGCGACGTAAGATCACGTAAATCAGATTCTCACATCACGGTCAGTCAAATATGTCGGTTAGGTTCCAAGCCTTACAGGATCTGGTGAAAGAAGCTGCGATGGAGGACAACGAGAAAGGGATCAAAGAAGCACCAACTTCAACGTGTTAGAAGATACTGCGGCTCAAGAAGCATCATTATAAAGAATGGATCTCCAACGAAATCCTAAGCGAGATTCAACAAAGGAAGAACAAGAAGAAAGCAATCAACAGCAGTCAAACAAAAACAGAGAAAGTGGAAGCACAAGCTGAATACGCAGAAGCAAACAAGCAAGTGGAGTGGAGTGTTAGAGCTGATAAGCGGAAATACGTGGAAGGCCTAGAAACGACAGTAGAAAGGTTCCAGAGAAGGAAATATGAAAGATCTATATGATACTATAAAGACCATAACATTTACGTACCATTTTGTGCTTGATGATAGTGATCACAGATAAATTTCGGAGGTATTGGTGATGCCTCGGGGTGAAGTCACTTATTGCACATATCTTTTGGGTGGTACGCCACGAGGGTGCTGTAAAGGAGATAGAAAGGGGAAGGGCGAGAAGTGTGACGAACAGTGTTCATGTCTAGGTAAGTTTAGTCATATGGAATAGAATAATTAAGGTAATACCACTAAGACTCGTTTCTTCTTATTGGACCAATTTCTCAGCAAGTATACTTAATCAGGTTAAAGATAACAAGCCAAATTATGGTGTTCAATGAGCAAATGATTGTATAAATGGAGGTGGTCCGAAAAAGCTGAAAGTTAAGAATTGTGTCCGAATGCCAACTGGCCATATTACGTCAAAACTGCTATAAATTCTGCACCAATCGTTTGAGAGGATAGCCTTAGAAAATTCGTAATCGAATGTCAAATCTTTCGTAGCTGGAGATCGATTTCTGGAATCAAGCAGTGAATTACTGAAACTCCTTATCGGGACATTTAGTGTAAGCACCTCGTGTTGATAAACTCAAAGCGAGAGTGGATTTTCGCAGAAATATATGGGTCACTGAACCTCATCCTTATATGCGAAAAACATTCGTGCCAATGATGAGATAGTGAAATGAACTAGTGAATGTTTCTAATCTTTAGTGAATGTGGAGAGTCTCCTAATTTGTTGTGGATGGAGATATCATGAGATGGTTAGGATCTTCCGTTTTACTCGTCTCTGAATTAAAAGGCCTGGTATAACATTTGACAGGATGTAGCACAGCACATAATTTTAATCTGTCCAAACAAAGTATCGAAGAGTTAGGCAATCTTGGTGATTCATCGTGACGAAGAGTGGGATTCAAGGAGCACTACGAAGTATAAATTACTTTTCTACTTTTAAAGCGCAGTCAAGTTTTGGAGGCTCATGTGTAAAGTGACTTAAGTGACTATCTTGAAGTCCTTCAAGACGAATCTTGATGTATTCTTAGGAATTCAAAATATAATTCCATAATCCAGCCTTCATCTACTTCCGTGGGGGGTTTATAATAACTCAAGAAAAAGGCCGCTACATTGATAAAAAGATACAGGAATTGGGATTAACTTCTGTAGATAAACATTTTCCTAGTCGGATCGCAAGAGAGTATATGTTGAGTCACAATTGTCCAGCTGCATAATAATGTTTGGTGGAGTGCCACAGGGTATAATGTACTACCGAGTTCACCCCGTGAACGATGATAAGGATAAATAGGCCACGAAATGCGAATTCCTTACTGCATCAGGTATTCATGCTTAGGCTAAACCCCATTGTTTATAAAAGCTACATAAGAAATAAGTTGAAAGCTGTGATGGATAGAGATACAACACATGCTTTCACCAAAACGCTCAGGGTCACAAGCGAATAACTGTAAGGACAAATATATATCCATATGATGATTCGAGAAGATTGATTTCTCTGTCCGAAAGTGGATTTAAACACACGGACGTCATGATAGAAAAGCCGCTACAATAATTCCGGGATCAGTGCATTTTCGCCTGGGTGTAAAATCCTTTCTACTAACATCGTCGGTCTATTTATATGTTGACGATATCTAAACATCGAGGGCCATAAAAGAAAGAATGGATTTTTAGAGTTTCCGAATACCTACGGAAATTGTCTGGGTTATTCAGGATTTGTTAGTTGCCGATACATGCTTGCAAATGCACAATGATGCATATTTGTCAACATGGTACAAATACATACACAGTGCATGATATTGAAATACCCCATTATTAAGACAAGTTGATTTATAAGTTGTCATCAATCAAGACTTGACTAGCACTCCCATGCAATGGCTTCCGGAAGTTTTAGAGTCATCTGGTCCATACATACTACCTCTAGTCTTTAAACCTTCATGACTTCGCATGCAATGCCTATTTGACATAAGCTTGAGTACCTCGTACAAGCAGTCAGCTTTTGCCTGAATAAGGCTGATCAGTTGGAAGATATTCGAAGAACCTCAGCTAAGTTGATTCCAGGAATAACAAAGCGACTGTATGACGAATGACTAAAGTAAACCTATTCCCCCTGTTACATAGGATTAGAGGCAACTTAGTCACAATCTTTAAGCTACTTAATGATGATTTCACATCCGGAATACCCTCGTTTTCCTTATATTTCAAAACTCAACATTTCCAAGGACAATTCATAAATGTTCACAAGCCCAGAACCACTTACTCGTCAAATAACTTCAGACATTTACATCGAATCATCAACTTGCAGGATTCTCTCATTTAACATGTGGTTGAATCTTTTTGTCGAGACTTTCAAAATGAACTTAGATCAACTGAGATACTTCCATCATCAGAGCTAACACAAGTCATCCAGCCTTCTGTCTCTTTCAAACTGGGACGGAATAATTTGCCGGAATATCATTCATTTCTTTACGTTTCGTGTACTCAGGTCATTACTTAGAGTCATCTTCAATTGATTGTAACTAGATACGGAGGCTGGCTGGGCGAAAAACTCTTCCGTTCTTTTCTTAACTTTTTGAGCCGCATGATTCGTTTACATGGATCAAATTCCTTGGTCGCGCTGTGAGTGTTTGCATAATGCGCGTAATAGGAAGTCAAAGTCTTGTTTGGCATTGCCCATCGTCCGGTTTCTTTTTCTTATGCAAACTTTCTGTTAAGTAATCCCCACAAACCTAGTGTGTAAACTTGTGTATTTCTGGTGTTTCATGGATGGTTTTATGAAAGAGAGCCTATTAAAATGGATTTCATTAATAACTGAGAGGAATGTTAACCTCATAGATGGCGAAATCCTCAACAATCTAATAGACCTTTCGTAAGTTAGCAGTTTGATGTATGACAATAATTAGAGGTGCTTTTCCAGCAGTTACTACCTCAGAATGTTTCAAGGATCGAATTGGTTCATTTTTGGATGGTAAGCGATTAAGTCATCACGTTCATTATATTCAGCAACTTTTCATCCTGGAGTTTCTAATTTATTTGACATCGAAGGGGTGATTTCTGGAAAGGCTAACGATGTGGAATTGTTCGGGGTAAGTTGTCTTTTCAGTTTCCATCAGTTATTGTAGCTGTTTCACCAGCCTTATAGCTAGTAGGAAGTGGTTACTTTAAGTACACACTTGATATATCTTAATGCCTGCATATTTTCCTAGCATTCTACAGTTTAGTGTTTTTTTGCTGCTTTATTGAAGTCAACGAAAAAATAGTATCAGGAATGTTTTATTCTAAGCTTAAGTTTAAAAATGGATACTTGGTGTAGTTTCCTTTTTTCTCCATTGGTTATCCAATTCCCAGGGGTGAAAATATGGACCAATAAAGCTGTACTGGAGATTCTGGATAGCCTTGGGAGTATCCACTGTCGTATCTGTTGCCACTTTCTCAGGTAGGATGTCCAAGTCGTCAATCACTCAACAGGAGCATTCTCGTCTTTTGTCGCGTAGTAGCTGTCTAAATATAGCCCGTACTATTATTTGTGTATAAAAGTACCCTTCTTATTTTGCACTGTAATATATCTAGTTGAACTGAACTTTACCTTATTTCTCTTCAGTTATGCCTAACCGTTTTATTGGGATGTCTTCAATGTCCCTCCAAACAGTCGTTCATGGATCCTGCTTTGGATTTGAGTTTGGATATGCAAACTGCCATATTTCATTTGATTCAAGTTCCTATGACCCAGTTATCCCTCAGTCATGAGTTCACTCGGGATCTGGTCACAAGCAGAATTCTCGATTCATCACATCTTATCCACACTGATAACTTGCCACCTCTTCATCAAACCATTACTTGTAAAATAGAAGTAAGTCCCACACTTGTACTTGGCTTCAGATAATACCTCTTCAAAGTTTTCTGATACATGTTTCTAATAAAATTACTCAGTCACTACTATACAAGCTTCAACACACACTGAAAGGTCTGTGTATCGTCCTAGCAAATAAACTAACGTGTTGGTTGGAACTGTATGACAGAGACTTAACTCAGTCAGTCAGTAACAACGTAGAACTTCGTACGTACGTAAATCAGTTCGAGTTGTCACACCACATTAGCACAGAGATGCAGTTGTCAACTCAAATTCCGTAGTAGTAGAGGTAGTAAGAGTATAAGCAGTAATCGAAAACATTAGGGTTTGAAGATGTTATTCAAAGAGTATAATCCAGTGAAATAAATTTGGAAAGAAAATAGTGGACATGAAGAATTCAGAAGATTATAATTTGGGAGAACACAAAGAGTGGATGCACCTGCTCCATTGCAAACGATTTTGATCTATTTCATTCAAGGTCTCTAACCATCGGTTGCTATCATTTCGCGGTCCCCAACCAGGTAGTTTAGACCTACCGACATGACTCAGACCACTTGTCAGTGACTTCATGGATTTGTGTTTTGTTTTGGTCTGGCCTGCTTTAGCTTTTTAACCTACTCCTACACGATAAAACATCGCACGTCCGGTATTCACAACTCTTATATAGACGATTATCTGGTTTTGTTTCATTACTGAATCGTAACTTTTAATTTGCTTATACAGGAAGAAGTCTCAGAACCATCATCTAGGCCACCATCTTCAACAGACACGTGTAACGGACAAAAAGTGATTTGTAATGACAATAGAAATTATAGTCTTTCGGTGAACACATTGGGATCTGAATTCACTCGCCCTAATTCGCCTACAGAATATGCTAATAGACATACAAACAAGCTAAAGAATGGTATTGATCACAGACCCAATAATCTTTCATTGTGTAACACTCCTGATCGAAGTCTGTGTATTGCATCCAGATTGAATTTAACCGATAATTCGGAGCATAATGCGAATCATACTCATCATGCGCCTCCACCTCTAGCCTCGCCTCTCACATCCCTAAAGTTCCTCCTAGATTCTCCATCATTGACACACAAGGTAAACATACATGTCTTTTTAGTGTTCTTGTGAACTATTTTTCACCTCAACTCATGAAGTTTTCTACGGTTATTTACATTACTTGGTTTTGTATTTTTTTATTTAAAAAGGTTTAAATTTAACTGACACAGTGGTAAATTTTTTTCTACTGATTCCAAACTAAGTGGTTCCATAATTTTAAAACTGCTGATGTACCACATAGAAATATACCTCCGTTTTTATGTTTCTAGTCAAACTACATTCATTGCCATTCTATTTATTGCAATTTATATAATTTTATCCGATTGGTTAGTACCGTACATTTTCGGCTAATAACCACTAATTTTGAACTTGACGATGGTCGTAGGTAATTGGACTAAGCTTGGTTTCCCGATGTTACCCGAATCATTACAATTTAAACCATCATGCTGGTTTGAACCCCTAAAAACTCCAGTTTGGGTAGCTTAAGTATACATGGACTTCATGCACAACTGTGACTCAAAACTGAGTACATTAATATGCATTTAAAAATTAAGTTTAATCAATGCTTTCGTTATTTTAAACGAAAATTCAGTCTTTTGACTCTGCGGTAGTATGAAATTGTATATGACACTAACTGCTTGGTCATACGTAAACTCGGCGGTACTATTTACCGCGTTTTTGATGCAGTTTTCAAAGCCATGGTTGATTAAGAGGTTATCTCTGTAAGCCGCAATTAATGTCCAAGCTTCTCTGCATCTTTTCTGGATGTTTCGTGCAGATCGTAGTGCTTCCTACTGATGAGGTTCAGCCTGGGCACTCAAATCAAATTATACAAATCTACTCTTAGTTAACAACTCAAACCTTTACACATTGCATAGTTATTAAACGATTTTGCTCAAACTATGCTATCTAACCTAAACTAATATGAAGAGAGAGAGAAATAGGCACTGCAGTAAGGTCCTAGATTTCATGGGCGACTATGAGGTGTACTTCTCACTCTGCATATCATAGTCCTGTTTTTTAGTCAAAATATCCATTCCATGCCTTTCTAGTTGTAAGACTTATGAGACCTGTTTTGGCCTATTTTGCAGACACAATTTCGGGAATCAGAACGTGAAAAGCGTCGTTTAGCAGTGGAACTTGAAAAGGAACGAATTTGTAGAGATGAAGCGGAGAGTTTAGTTTCTGGATTACGAAAACAGCTTGAAGAAGCCACTGTTCGAGCAACTGAATCAGAATCACGGGCTCTCCGTTTATCTCGTGAACTAACAGCCCTTCATGATCAGGGAGATGAATTAGCACACTGTCGTAATGAATTGGCTTTGCGAGAGGAAGAAATTAAGAAGTAAGTTGTCCTAATCATTATTTCTTGCACACCGACTTCGGTGGCTTGGACATGTTCTACGAATGTCGTCCCAGAGAATTCCTCGTCGTGCATTATTTGCCGACTCTGGGACTGGTTGGAAGAAGCGGAGAGGTGGTCAGTGCATGACATGGTGTCGTGGTATGAAAGAAAGCTGCAAAGGACTGGCTTCTGTCGGTCCTTCACGGCTCCCTGGTTGGGGTCCGAGAGATGGTGCGACACAGTGGCTAGAGACGTTATCAGATATGGCTCAGAATAGAAGCCAGTGGCGATCCTGCTGTAACCTTCTTTTACTTTCTTCATAAAAAGTGGTTGTGTCTCCCTTACCTGAAAGATTTCTTCTGATTGTACCTTTCCGTTCCCTCAATTCTACCATACTACCTTACACCAATCTCTTCGTTATTGTTCTCTTTTTCTTTTTGCGCTCCTTAGTTTTTTTTTCTATTTCTCTTCGAATTCTCATTGTTTTGTGTGGCGCATATATATTGGCGCTCTCTTGTACCAATATTCATGTGTTCAAATAAATAAATAAATAATTCTTGCACAACAGATGACTGGGCTGTGGATCTCCTGATCCATCCTCTCTCCTCCAAACACTTGAACGCCGCCACACCTGCAGACCAACAGCTGTTTTTTATGTCAGGATCCGCTTCGATTTGTTGGGCAAAGCCGTATTTGATAATTTTCTGTTGAATAATTCTGCACTTGAAAAGTTTAGTAAGGCTCTGTACACAAACACCTCAGAATAATGTCACAGAATTATCTCTAGTCCAAACGTAGTGGTAGACAGGGTTGTGCACTTTCTCCATTCCTCCTTGATTTTGCTGTCAACAATATTTTCAAGCAGCTTTGAAGGAAGTACGTGTTGATTATGTGAATCTGTTACCTGAAGAAAAGACTCATTGAATATGCAGATGACATGGCCGTACCAGACGATGCTATTTAAACCCCCCATTTTACCGTTTCGTTTTATAAATGAATAAATAAAGTATTCGTTATAGTTAAATTTTCACATACCAACCTTTTTTCGTAACTTCTTTTTTTGACTCAGTTTGAAACTACGCGTTATGGGCTTTCAAGACTTAATGGCTCATACACGAAAGTTGGAAATGGAAAAAATTGATTTACAGCAAGAATGTGAAGATCTTCGTCTGAAAGTAAGCAGTTTATTACATGTACCTTTATTCATTCTATATGAAGGTATTCAAGTGTAGGCTAGTCTTTTTTTGCTTAAACATCATTGCGGTTTGACTCAGTCATTTTATTTATTTAATAAAACACGTTAACATTGGTACAAGGAGGCACCAAATATATATGCGTCATACAATAATAACGAGGTTGTAAAGAGATAGAGAACGTAAAGTGCGTATAACAAAAGAACAACGACGAACAGGAATTGGTGTATGAGGGTGAAGTAATAATAATGATAATAATAACAATAATAATAATAATAGGAAAAAAGTCCAGTTAAGAGAAATACAACCGAAAAGAATTCTTTTGGTTGAAGAAGTTACGTTCATTTTTTTATGGAGAACGTAAAATAAGGTTACATCAGGATCGCTACTGGCTTCCGTTCTGAGTCATGTCTGGTAACTTCTCTTGCCAGTGTTGTACCATCTCTAGGACCCCAACCAAGGAGTTGTGAAGGACCAACAGAAGCCTGTCCTGTACAACTTTCTTCCATACCACGACACTGTCATACACTGACTACCTCTCTGCTCCAGAGATGTCCCTGATTGGCAGAAGCTACTCTGGCTTTCACCACACATAAATTGATCTAGTCGTTCTCGCTACCATCAGCACTTGTGCAGCTACCCAGATATACGAACTTCTCAACTACTTTTATCCGCTCACTAATCAGGTTGAGTTCAGGTTCAGGGTCTTGTCAATCTTGTAAAAGTACCTCGCATTTGGAAGGTACAAAGCAAATACCGTACTTGCGGACACTAATTGCCAACTGATTAAGTGCGTTATTACATGGCTTAGGTGTTATTCCACAGTAAGACAATATCATTCGCATACTCAAGATCGAGAAGTCTTTCTCCAGACAACAGATCCACACATCCATCAGAGCTGTTTCCAGAACATCGTCGATGGAGAAATTGAAGAGGAATGGTGAGATTGGGCAACCCTGTCTCACCTCACTGCTTGAATGGGGCAATGCAGATAATTTGTTGTATACCCTCACTCTGCCTAAGGTGTTTGTATATAGGGCTTTCAAGTTGTTAATGAACTTTTTAGGCATACCCCTCTTCAATAGACAATCCCCAAAAACAGTCCTGTCCAGCGAATCGAAGGCGACCGTAATATCAAGAAACACTACGATTGTTAGCTTTTGATAAGTATGACGGTGTTCTAACATTCTTGACAAGAACAAAAACTAGACTGCTCATCGCAAGTCAATATTCCTCGGGTTTTGAACAATCTACGAAGGATGACTGAAGCCAATAGTTTGGACGCAATAGAAAGTAGACTTACCCCTCGATAGTTGTTACAGAAACGACGTGAACCCTTTTTAAAGATAGGGACAACTATCGACTCATTCCATTATGTTGGAACACTCTAATTGCCAGACGTTTGTAAACAGTTCAGTCATTTCCTTAACCGGAAAGTCACCACCATCTTTAAAAAGGGCCAGAGGTAAGTCATCTGGGCCTTGTGATTTGTAGCGCTTCAATGGTTGGAGTTCCTTGCGGAATTCCGCCTCGTTAGGTGGATCAGTAAACGTGAGAAGTGTAGAATTGATGGGTTGGGGTTTACACTGGATTTTAGAACACATGCTTCATCCTATTTGGGACCATCAGGTGGATGCACCTACATCATCCGTGTTGATGTTTACGTTGGGAATCGAACACAGTTTCCGCTTCAAACGTCAATGCCTTTTACATCGAGCTACTGAGTCAAGTAGTTATTGACTTATTCAACTGGTTTCATATTCATATTGATATGTGATTCAAAAAGAGCAAATCCGTTTCTCCTGGCCATCAATATTTGATGTATATACCAGTAAAATTGTTGAACTAAACAATATCTTATCATTACTTTTTCTATAGATCATCAGCTCAAAGAGATAATGTGTGTCGATTTTGTGTGGTGAGAGTTTCTACTAGTTAAATAGGTCAAAGTAAATTAATGAATATGTAATAATAATAATAATAATAATAAAAACGATGATAGTTCCAGATCACATCAAACTGGTTTCTGTCTACTATTCAAAAGGTAAAAGATCGTCTCTAAGATGTAGTTTTATCTGTTGGAAGAAATGTATAGGGTTATGCAAGGAGGTGTGCAAAATCCGTTATAGGCCAGCTATATTACGGAAACTTGGTAGCCATGAATATGTTCGATATTGGGGTTTCATTTCCACTAATATCAGGTGTTTAAAATCTTCGCACCCAATAGAGTATAATAATTTTATGGTTCAGCCGTAAGCATATTCTTCTTTGAGTTTAAATTTTCAATCTTCGGAATGAGTATATTGACATCTGCTGTATTATACCTTGAATTTGAGGTATATTAATTGTTTATTGGACTATTGTTTAGTTCTACTCCTCACCTATACTTCGGTTTTAGAAAGTCACTATAGTATTACTGACTTATGTACAATATCTACGGCTCAAAGCACCATACTTATAAACTTCTACTTAATTACTTCGTTGTATCACGTTTAAAGTAAGTCAATTAAAATAGTTTTCTTATAATTACTTCCAAACATCATACGATCCATGGCATATGTTGGAAAGAAAGGTTATATACTTTGTACACTAAATATTTGTGTTCACTTTTTTATTTATTTACGAAATCTTATAAAATTTAGTTTTTCTTTTGTTGTTATAGTATAAAATAACAAAAACGTTTTAAACTTGATTATTGATAGGTAGATCAACAGCTTTCTCAATTAAGAGAGTTCAAGGAAAGACGTATTAAATGTAGTGAAATTGAAGAACTCAAGTCAAAATTACGTGATGTTGAAGCTCAAGTAAGATTCATATCTAAGAAAATATTTTTGAATAACTAGAGTAACCTATTGTGTCATTGAATGTAATTCAGCGAAGACAATTTTCTTTTCAACGATACCATTTACTGAAGCTGTTCAATCATATAGTGATTTATTAAAAACGAATCTTTAGAAATATAAGTGTGCTTATTAACATACAAAACCATTCTCTATCACACAGTACTCCTATTTACGGCTAGCACAAACGAATATGAATTATAAGTGAACCTGTTACTTGATATTATGCGAGCCTTAAACTATGATTTATTTGATAACATGAATTATTAAACTGGAAATCGTGTTTTTGTGCGTTAAAATCACCATAGAACAAATTGATAGAATTTTATGGCATGTATCAGTTAGCAGTGGACTAATTTTACTCTAGGGCGATCTATGAGTCCCCAAATGCCCTGGTACGGCCGAGAGTGGGGAGAGTCCGCTCTCCCTCTCGAAATGTTCCCACATGGCCACGCGTATATAGCCTCTGCCAGGCAAGTCCTACTCACTGCCTTCTCGTGGCGGGGGTGTTGTTTACAAAAATGAGAGGACGAAAAGCGAATGTCCGGCGCTTTAACCGGATCACAAACCAATGGTGCACATGGGCTCCAGTATCCTGCGGTAACAAATGGCGTATGAACCAATTGTTGGTCACCGGCTACCATGGGACTGCATCTCAATACCATGCCCCACTGCCTTGAAAATCAGACCTTCAGGTCGAAAGCTCGGGGAGTGGCCCCCTAAGAAAACCTACTTCGGTTTGGGCACCCGTGCAGTATCACAGCCCTCACGCATATCGAATGAGATTTGTGTGGCGCATATGTCTTGGGTGCCTCCTTGTACCATTATCTATGTGTTGAAATAAAATAAATAAATATTTATTTTCTCAAAGCAGCGGCTCAGTGGTTGAGACGTTTGACTTCCAGCCACTAAGCTGCAGGTTCTGATCCCACTCCGACTACTTCGGTCCGGGCAGCGATATAGTATTCATAATCTTTACACTTCGAATAAGGCTCAAAGCCAAGTACACAATTTTACACTTCTGGTGGCTACTGACAAGAAGGATTGTGATTTTTTCTATAATCGCTACACTTATTCAAGCACACAGCTAATTCGATATTCACTTGTAAGCTGGAGGGTGTTTGACATATGTTTCGTATTAGTTGATACCCATCAGTATGGCATATCTCCAATCTATTTTGTAGTATAATCCCATTAGGTGTTGGCTCGAATGCTACCATATCATCCATGCTCTCTGTCGAAGTTCTTGTTATCATTGTTATTCATATTGTATTCTAACAGTTATTTTCTATTCATAGTATGTCTTATGAAACGTTTTCGATTGTAATTTTTAAGTTGTTGCAACAGCTACGTGAACGTGAAATGATCGAAAAGGATATAAGACAACAACATGAAATGTCAACACAGCTTAAACTGCAATATTCCATAAAAAATCTTCAACCCAATAATAAATCATTAGATATTCATCAATCTAAGTCTAATATAGAAGAAATTGAATGTAGTGAACAAGGAAATAAAGTTGGTAAGTTGATTTGTTGATTTATCATTATTTTATTAATATACACTAGTTTTATCATTGACTAGCTTACTTACTTAAGCCTGTTACTCCTCGTGGAGAGGTGCATAGGCCTCCCACCAATACTCCATCCAACCCTGTCCTGGACAATCCTTCCCAGCGCTTTCCAGTTGTTATTCATCCTTTTCATATCTGCTTCTATTTCCCGACGTAGTTTGTTCCCCGTCATCCCACTTTTTCGTTTCCCTTCAGGATTCCAAGTCAGTGCTTGCCTCGTGATGCAGTTTGGTGATTTGCGTGATGTATGTTCTATCCATTTCCATTATCTTTCCCTAATTTTCTCTTCATCTGGAAGTTGGTTTGTTCTCTCCCACAGTAGGTTGTTGCTGATGATATCCAGCCAATATATGCTGAGTATCTTGCGTAGACAACTATTTATAAATACTTGTAACTTCTTGACGATAGTTGTAGTAGCTCTCCGCCTGTAGCACTTCTAGAGTTACTACCGGTCCCAAGCCTGGGTAAAGGAGGAGGGTTGGGGATGGGGTATGCGGTTAGCAACTCCATCCCATAGAAAACTAACTGGCTAAAAAACACTATCATTGACTAGCACTCTACTTTAATGATTTATATTGAGGATACTGTATTTCCAAATACATAGTACAAGAATAAAAATCAGTTTTAATTTTGATTCAGTCGATTTCAACGCATTTTCTTGATTTTTATCTGTTAACTTTCACTGTGTGTCAGTTGTATTTGGTTATTTGTTTCTCAGTACATTTTCATTATAGTGATTATTTCACTGATTTTCTATTCTATAATAATTATTCAATTAATAAAACTCTAATTAATAATCATTAAATTAGCTTGGATGTAAATTGAATCTTCTTCAGTCTCGTCCAACAAAAATTGTTAACAAGATTCTTGGATTAACTGGGGGGGGGTGGACTGGAATTAGGTAGAGTTGTTTTGTACGTTATCACAACTTTTGTTCGAGTTTTTGCCGCATATCTGGTATGCGCCTTCAATTGTTGAACCTAGAAAACCTTATAATAATTCTAAATAAAGCCAGAATAAACATGCATGCAGAATAATGTGAATTCATTGTATTTCGTGGTTTGTCATCAGCTGCTTACATTAAGGTAAGTTTTAGTGCCAAACAATCGACATATATGAATGAAAAGAATTGGAATGACAAAGGTTATCAATAATAACTCTCTATACGTGTGCAGGAACAGTTCGGATGTCATTTGGTACTGGAATCAAAAACCAAGGGGTGGATAATGTATTAATGAGGTTCAGAGACAGATAAAATAAACTATATGATAATTATAGAGGTAATAAAGGGTTTACACAAGATTCCTGGAGTTCAAAAAACTGATGAGTTACATAATAAATGAACAGGATTTGAAGAGTTTACATAGGTGAAGACTATTGAGTGAATTGAAATGTCTAAGTGAAGGGGTGATTTTAACGTATAGAAAAATTCTGATGTCGGCATTATGCACTTGGTGGTCCCACTATTCTCAAGCAGTATTTGAAAAATTTCTGTTGTCTAATCCCTGTGTCTCATACCCGTAAAATTCTGAGAAATATTCCTATCCCTTAGTAAGTAAACGGATGTGTTGTCTGCTTCACAGATGGCTCAACCAAGTTCTTGTCTATCGTTTTAGTATGTGCACAATCCTATTCCTGTGCTTCATATCAATATTACCATCAGATTTTCTAACAACAGGTTAATTTACTATGATTTTCCATGTAGACATAGTTTCCATTTCAGATCATGAAGATTAGCGAAGACTAAATGTGGCTGAAAACACAATCTCGTGTAGCTGCACAAGTTTACATAGTTCATTGGAACTGTCATTCAGTGGTTCCAGTGTATTTTCGTTAGTTGGATGACATTTTATTTTGTTGTGGACCTATAGTCTCAATGACCTTGTTTAGATTGTCGAATTAATGTAAATAAATAATACATGAATATAAAAACTAATGTTGAAAATTTTATCTCATACTGTCCTTAATTTCTATCTCAGCCAGTTTGTAATTATGTTAAACAAAATGTGGATTATTCATTCACATGGTGTTATTCAACCAACTAACCGTTGATTAAAAAGATGGTTTGTTTCTGTCCAATCTGTCAGTTAAGATAAATGTCTGTAAACTATTCCCCCCCCCGCGAAAAAAACCAGTTTACTATTATGAGTATATATACATAAAATATTTTTCAATCAACCAAATTCTGATTATAATTCTAAAATCGATTTCATATGAATACTATGACTGATAAAACCCATGAAATGCATCTGTACAGTCGCGAAGAAAAGTGGTATATCTAATGATAACGGATGCACACTACAGGATTCGCAAATACCAACATGTCATAGAGGACCAAAAGATGAAGCTATAAAGGACACTCACGTCAGAACATTTGGAAATCTTGACAACAGCCGTCGAGATATCATGCAAACGACACAGAGAACAAAGAAGAAACACCTTAAAGAAAAAACCAATCAAGATCTCAAAACCACCCATAGAAGAAACGCACAAACAACTGCGTGATCAATCTGTCAAAACAACCAATAACAAATACGGAAGAAAACCTACTTCAAAAAGGATTAAACTACAATACAAGCGACGCCTCAAAGTTGGGATTCTTCGCAGCACTAGAGTCATCACTCAAAACTTCGGGAATCGGTGAAGAAACACAACAGGAAATAAGACAAACTATAGTACCGCTAACTCAACATGTGAAGGAAAACAACCAACTGACTCCACAAGAACAAAAGGCTTTGAAGGAACTCAGAAATAGAAAGGATATTGTCATAATACCAGCGGACAAAGGACGCACCACAGTAATCATGGACAAAGAAGAATACGTTAAAAAAACCCGAAGAACTACTTGAAGATAAGAGCACATACAAACTGATGGATACAAATACCGTCAAAAAATTAGACAACCAGATCTCAAAGACTTTAAACAAGCTAGTCAAAGCAGGAAAAATAACAAAACAAGACCAATGGAGAATGAAATCCAATGGACCAGAAAATAAAAAAGGAAGAAAAATAGTCACAAATACTGTTAGGTTAAAACCTGAGTTCATCAGTGTTTTTAAGATTCAGTCGAATAATAGCCACCCAAATATACCCAGGCAATTCATTGGTTACAAATCCGGAAATCTCATTTGTAGCCTCTTTTTATCTTAATGAATCTTCAATTCAATTTACATAATGTGCACAGAAAATAAGCATTTGAAATCTACTGATACTATATCAATTGCAACACACTGGCTAGAAGTTAAATGCTTGTATTATTACTGGTCAGATTATGTTATAAATATGTACATAAAGAAGAAGGTATACACACAGTATTTCTATTCAGTAAAAAATCATGTTTTTACTAATGTTCCAGCTGATAAAAGTCACCAGAATATCCTGTGTAAAGAAAACACTAAATCAAACAATTAAGAGTATCAAAACACGTTTGCTTTATTGTTACTGAGGGGACTTATACACCTTCATGGAGGAGATCCAATCAAATGTGTTTATGCATAGTTACATTGAGGATTGGAAATCACTACCATCTAATAATGTAAATTAAACTGTCTATTCGGGTTTTAAAAAATCAAATCAGTATACATCCTGTCAGATTCTACGTTGACTATGACTGACTGACTGACTCACCATCTGTCCTAGTTAATTGTAATTGTATGTCGTAAATCTAGGGCATTCATTTTATCTGATCTTATTTACTCGACTGACGAAGTCTGATTTGTAATTCCATGATCGTACTGAGCTATATCAAGTATCACCAGGTTTCATCGAACAAATCTAGTTTACAATTTTATACTTGGTCCTGAACGGATTTATTAAGTAGATATGCTGATAATAAACATGATTCTAGTAACCTACGTATATCATTTGAAATTTGTCTAAATTATTTATCTTTCTTTGTCATTTAATCGTCACGTACCGATCATTTTATTAAATGAATATATATCTTAGGAAAATTCTGATCAATACCTTTCTATCATATAATCATGTCAGTTGTGAACAATTACTTAAAATAGGATGATACTCGATATCTTTTTCAACCAGTAGGTTGTAAGTTCTAATCTAGGTGCATTTACTTTCAGACAATTGAGTTGTATCGTTAACCTGTACATATAAATAGTCGAACATACAAAACTATCCTTGGTAAATGAGTTATATAAAAGAAATAGTAACCTTAACGCCGTAAATCCTCATTTTTTTGTGAAATTTTGTGTACGTTTAACTTTTTTTTTAACACATAGATATTGGTACAAAGAACCACCAAATGCATATGCACCACACAAATCTCATTTGATATGTGTGAGGGCTGTGATACTGCCCGGGTGCCCAAACCGAAGCAAGTGGTTTTCTTAGGGGGCCACACCTGGAGCCTTCGACCTGAAGGTCTGATCCACAAGGCAGTGGAGCATCGTAAGGAGATGCAGTCCCATGGTAGCCGGTGACCAACAATTGGTTCATACGGCATTTGTTCCTTCAGGATCCTGGACCCCGTGTGCACCATTGGTTTGGAATGAGGGTTTTCTAACTCCCCTAGGTGGACTCTCTGTGTGTAGCAACCCGGTCAAAGCGTCGAACATTCGGTTTTCGTCCTCTGAATTTTGTAAACAACACCGGTGGTGTGAGAAGGTATTGGGTAGGATTTCCCTGTTGGTGGTTGTATGCACGTGTCCATGTGAAAGCATTTGGAGAGGGAGAGCTAACTCTCCCCACTCTCAGCCGTACCATGGCATTTGGGGGCAATATTGTTAACCGTGTTCGCTGGAATCCCACCAACATTATTTCTGTTCTAATTTCTGATTATATTCACTTATTCAGTTTATAGTTTATTTAAACCACACCGTTGTTGTTTGCATTTTTATCCTAAAGTTGATCAGCATCCCATTTTGAATAATTCATGTCAAGATTTGTCTATTTTGAAACCCGGTGAAAATTTGGGAACAGTATTAGAGGATGATTTGAAATCTGCCCGTTTATTCATATCGAAACTACAAGTAAGCTCATTTCAATCAATGTGATTGTCCATTTATTCTTTCACAGGTTGATTTTCAATAAGTTCTGAGGACATTTCGTAGAATTGTCAATATAACATATAGTCCCATAATCATAAACAATATATAGCGATGAACGGAACGCTTGGCCGTTGTTTCTTTAATGTGGTCTAAGGAGTTTTTTTTGATATTTCATATGATTAGATGTTAAGTTTTGTGTACTTCAGCTCAAGAAATTAAGTAGTATCTTAGTTTGATATTTTGTTCATATTCTATTACAGTTTTTAAATCGTGTTTCGTCATACCAGACAGACCTTAAATATTGGTTAACTGTTGGTTCACGATATAAAACTCAGTGTATTTATACTGTTATATAATTTTCAGTAGTGTTACCTGTTTGCTCAAATTCCATTAAGTCAAGTAGAGTTCAAGTTCATGATCCAATAATTAGGTTTGTTTTGTATAAAAGAACTTTTTTGTAATAATAAAAGTCATAGTTATTCTTTTTTGCTTATCTGTTTTTTTATACTGATAAAACATTTAAATAATCAACACTGACCTAGTGGTTATTTCGTTACCCAGTTTATCATGGACATTCATTCATTTATAAGACAAAAGCGAATACCCGCACTTGTTGTTCTTAAATACGTTACTGTCATTAAGTGTTATGTACTCTTATAGTTGACAATCTGAAATATCAGTCACATCGTTATAAACACAATGATACTTACCTTTATACAATGACCGAATTTATGTGTTTCGATTGATTACACTTAACTCTCTGGATCAAATTTGTTGATAGATTTTATTAGACTTACTAATTAGTAACAAATATCCATCATAATTTTCTTGGTGAATTTGTTATTATCATGCAATATATTTTCACACATTAGTATTCATAAGAATGTTTTCCAAGTTTTCCACAGAAAACGTTATTTTTCGCTTATTGCGATTCAACACACGCTCACTCTTCCTCGCTTCTATCACATTTGTTGTAAATCATCTATCTCCGAGTTTACATGTTCCCATCAAACCAATCAATAGTTAGAGATTCTTATTATTAATATTATTAATATTACTATCATTACCCCTGTTACGTCATCGTATTTTCTGATTCCTATATGTGTAGAAATTTTCTTTATTATCTAAATTTCTTTTTTCTTTCAGTCACAATTCGATGAAGAACTTGGTTCAGCTAGACAACTGCTTGAGGAAAAAACTAAGCGTTTGTATGAGCTTGAACAAATGATCAGTAATAGGCTATCAATAACTGAGGTAAGAATCTTGCATAACTCTGTTTAACATATAAACGAGTTTCCTTTTTTTCATTCTTAAATAAAGGATATCCGCTTTTTATCTCACCTATATTCATTTTCTGATAGACTACTGATGTCACTACTCAAACTGAAATGTCTTGTACAACAAGAACGACAACAACTAGTCCTAGTGAATTATTATCGCCGGAATTATTGCCCGCCTTAACGGTTGATGCGTATAGTGCAGCAGCAGCAGCAGATCGAAGAGGTCTTTCGAACGAATTAGTTCGTTTACATGAAGAAATAGCTCAATCAAAAAGTTATGCTTGTGAATTGGAACAACGGTTAACTGAAATGGTGAGTTACTCGTTGATATTATGTGAAATATTTTCTATCCTGGAGCGTAAGTCATTTGTCGTTGCGTAGGATACTTACTCCATGTATTCTCACTCAGTCAATGATAATTTAATTGTTAAAGTAATTACCCCATTAAAGAAGTAATTCAAACTGTGAAGTCATGATGATCATGATGTTTGTTTCACATGTCTAATCGTTGATAACTGTAGCATGCTATTTTGGTTAAATGCTAGATACGTTTTCATCGTAAAAATTCCATTTTCTTCTTTAATAGGGGTTAGTTGTTAATTCACTGTTAGATGACGACTTAGTAGTTAAAGCATTCGGCCTTCAGAGGTTCGAACCCCGGTTCATCCATCTTAGTTTAGTGATTCGGTTATTATCACTAACTTTCATACACAGTATGGATCAAAAACCTAGTACCTTAATGTGTACTTGTTGAATGGTTTGCATTAATTTGTAAAAAAATATACTGTAGATTGTTTTCCACTGTTATTATTTTTCCTAACAACCATCTAGTGCCAATATTCCTATCATGTGACCATCAGTTTTGTAATTGTTTCTTTCAGCTTGTAAAATCGATTATTTTAAGCTTATAAGACATTAGTTTACATTGATTGATTTTCTCTTTCACATTTTTTCCCCTGTTTTGACTGACTATGAAATAAATACTACAATCTACAGTCACATTTTGATCCCTTACGTTCTTTCTTGTTTAATAGTTTTTTCACTACTGCACTTCATTTGATTTGACGTTAATCAGAACAAGATTGAGTTAAGTACGATATACATTTTCATAGAATTGGAACAGTAATGAACGTTTGTATTAATACCAAAGTTTATAAATAATTTATATATTCTGAAAATAATAATAACAGAATTCATGCCAGTTTACAGGGGTATGATCAATTTGATATAAATAGTAACATTAGATGTACAGAACAAACATGTGATAGAAGAAAGTTTTAAGTGTACTAGTTCAGTAATTGTTTAGGTAGTACATGTATTACAGCGATCCAATTCATTAGCCGGGAGCTAATAATTTTTCTCAAGTGGACATCCTGTTGAACGGTGTAATTAAAGTCATTTCGTGTGCCAGATCGAATTAATGATAATAATCTACAACTAGAGAAATTAAAACGAAAACAGAGAGCATGGAACAACAAAGCAGTAATTATCAAAATATGTCAATCAGGTCTAGCTAAATGCGTGTGTCATGTGACACAATGATATACTGTTGATGTTACTCAAATGAGTTAAACTTGCTGGGGACGGTGTTAACATAAAGTGACAGCAAGTAGGTGGTTTTACTTAGGGAATACACTAATAAAAATGGCTAAACATTTAAAGTTCCTATAATATCACTTGCGGAATGAGATACACTTACAGGTGCTAGACCATTCAATGCATTTTCAGAGGAGCACTATGCATCGATGCAGTGAACAAATATTGGGAGTGATTTTATCGTACGGATAGATTGTGGTAGGTTATTCTAGAGTCTGGAAAATTTATAGGTAAAGTAATTCATATAAACAGATGATTTAGAATAAGTTTGTTTCACTAGCGACAAGGAATTACGGATGTCATAATGAGAAGTTTCTGCATATTCAATCGCGTGATTGGATGTAAACGATAGTTTATGAAGTAGTTTGAAGAAAAAGATAAGATTTAATTTGAGTCTCCTCTTCTATAAAGGTTCTAGCCCAAGTTTATTGTATTTGGAATTATAAGTTAAGGTACAATCAGCTCCAAGAATATGAAGTGTAAATCGTCTCTACTGATTCCAGCCTTAATTTATCCTGCTAAGAATAAACTTGCAATATTCTAGAAGTGATCGAACACAAACTTTGTACATTAAAATACGTGACTGATTGTTATGTAATGTACAAGACGTTAAGGCTTAGAGGTTAATATCTGTTCTGTAAACGGCAAATCGTGGGAGTAAATTTCTTCGCATGTGTGATTGACAAAGATGCTGTTGACGGAAACGTACTTTGAGTAGTTTCTAATTTTAAAGTCTAATCAGTCTACCACTTTATACAAAAACCAAGCCTATAACAAATCAAATGAATATTTATTTTAGATTAGTGTAGATTTTAATAATTCATAATGGCGTAGAAATTTTAGAACTCGATTGTTTTATACCCTCATTGATTCAATATAATACAATGATTTTTAATCAACACATTTCAGATCTCGCTCTATCTACTTACTTCAGCTCCAGTAACTGATTATTCTCTTGCTCCTTAAAGTCGATTACATCAATATTTGTAACTGTTACTTACTTGAGCTAGACCAACTTTGTAATACTTCCATAGAGAGAGAGAGAGAGAGAGAAAGAGAGAGAATCGAGTCATTAATTTAAACCTAAATCACTTTTGTTAAGACGGTTGAAATAATATCATTCGGTTTTATTTATTTGTTTATTTAAACACATAGATATTGGTACAAGGAGGCACTAACTACATATGCGCCACACAAATTTCATTTGATATGTGTGAGGGCTGTGATACTGCCCGGGTGCCCAAACCGAAGCAGGTGGTTTTCTTAGGGGGCCACACCTGGAGCCTTCGACCTGAAGGTCTGACCCACAAGGCAGTGGAGCATCGTAAGGAGATGCAGTTTCATGGTAGCCGGTGACCAACAACAGGTTTATGTGCCATTTGTTTCCTCAGGATCCTGGACCCCGTGTGCACCATTGGTTTGGAGTCGAGATCTTGCAACTCCCCTAGGTGAACTCTCCGTGTGTAGCAACCCGGTTAAAGCGTCGAACATTCGGTTTTCGTCCTCTGAATTTTGTAAACAACACCGGTGGTGTGAGAAGGCAATGAGTAGGACTTCCCTGTTGGTGGTTGTATACACGTGTCCATGTGAAAGCATTTGGAGAGGGAGAGCTGACTCTCCCCACTCTCAGTTGTACCAGGGCATTCGAACTCAAATTATATAAGTTTTACCTAAAATTAATTCCTTCCACTCTATTTATAATTTCGTTTATGAAAATATTCGATCAACTCAGGTCATAAATGAAACTGTTGAAATTAATTTGAAAAAAAGATACTCACATTTTTACTGATACTCATAGAAAAAATGGAGTTGTAACGATTCAAATAATCCAAACTGTTCACCTATTTCTTCAATAAGTTCGTTCAGTATATTTTGCTTTTTCTTGGTGAAATAAAAATGTCATATTCAACTATTGTCACTTTATGGACATATGTACACACATTGTTTTGCACATCATTACATAATCTATTAACCTTCTATGGTTGTATTTTTCAAATGAGATCATGCCAACTAATGAATTTAATATAAAATACACTAATGTAAACACAATTTCAGACAATTATATCATCAAATAGAAATTTTTCTTCACTGAATTTCGTTTACCTTAGAAGATAGTGACCAGACACACATGTATATATATATCTGTATATGTATATGAAAAGTAGGTGTATACACATCGCTTGAAGTAGTCTGGTATTAACTTTTGTCAAAGAAACAGCTTTATACATTTCTGTTCATGATGAAATAACTTTGGACATAATTTCTAAATCTAAATTTTTTTGGTATTTAAATACAGATTGGTTGACAGTTTGCTACTACTACCGCGATTAGTGGCCTTGAAATCTAATCGATAAGTAATCTAGTCGTTGTTCTTATACAACAGTATATCCGGTTCCCAAAAAGTTCATAAGTATATCTTAGAATGTGCAGCAGCTTGACTTAATGGTTAAAGCACTTGTCTTCCAGTCAATCAATTTGAAACCTTACTCCAGCCACTTTGGTTTAGGGAGTCGAGTAATATGACAGACCGTCATACATAGAAGTGCGACTGAACACCGAGTACTTAAATTTGTAATTGATTGAATAAGTAGCATTTTATACTTATAAATAAAGTAGAGTTTAAGAAGCAAAGTATCTTTATCACACACGTGCTGATCGTGTAGTAAATGCAAACTCAGGTAGAGAAGACCAACTTATTGTTCGGCACAATATTACAGAATGTTTTCATAAAATGTGAAAACCATACAGTAAATACTTCATTTGCACATCTCCCATCAGTTTCTTTCATAACCTTATTTTGACTGAACATTTCTCGTGAAGATTTTAGTAATACGAAGCGTGCTAAATGCATAGTCATAGGTGAGAGCATTTCACAGTGCAACATAATATTAGCCATTAATACTGTTGGGATAGAGTGTTCTTTAATAAACTTTGTAAGAAGAACAAAAGTACACTGTGAAAGTGGCATAATTGCAACACTACGTGCGTTTCCAAATAGACAGTACGGCGAAGAGCGATTGCAGTCCAGAAATTCACAGTACTTGTGATAATCTATAACCTTTTTCGGATCTGAACATATCAATTTCCTCATTGAATACTTCTTTTTGATAAGTCAGTGATTGGTGAATACCTACTCATTTAAAGTATAGTAATAATTGTTTCGTCGTATTAAATGCAATATTTTTGTTAATTAACGGTTCAACCTGCTTCTATTCATTTCGATGTATGCGTAGTATAAATTTCTTAATTATCTACAGGAAGGTGAATTACACTGTACAAAAGAAAAATTAATCTATCAAACTACTTTAAGTAACAGAAATCAAGAAAATTGGATTATGATAGAACAAGAATATCGTGAATTACAGCGTCAGCATAGAATATTACAAAACAATTTATTGTTAAGTGAAGAAGAACGTTCTCGTGGCGGCGAAATGATGATTGCAGAAAATAATGCTGAATTTGAAGCAGCACGTGCAAATTATGAGAAAGAAATTGGCTTATTGAATGTAAGTTAAGTAAATAAGCTTTCGTGTATATGTCTGTGTATGTTTAACACATCTTGTTTATGTATTTGAACAAATAAATATTGGTACAAAAGTTCACCGAATACATATTTGCCACATAAGTCACTTGATTTGTGTGTGGGTTGGGATACTTCCCAAATTGAAACAGTTGGTTTTCCTTGGGGGCCACTCTCCGAGAATTCGACCCATATGATGTAGTCCCATGGTAGTCGGTGGCCAGCAACATGTTTATGCGCTATTTGTCCCCTCAGAATCCTGGAGCTCGTGTATACCATTAGTTTGGAATCAGCGTTTTCCAACACCCCTAGGTGGATCCTCCGTGCCCACAAACCCGGTTAAAACACATTACATTCGATTTTCATCCTCTGAATTTTGTAAACAACACCGGTGCCGCGAAAAGGCAGTGAGTAGGACTTCTCTGGCAGTGGTTGTTTACGCCTGGCCATATGAAGACATTTCGAAAGGTAGAGTGTTGGGGACGTTAGATCCCCAGAACCCACTCGAGAAAGGACGTAGTTTTGTAATTTTATTTAGAAAACTTGAATTTCTTTGTTTTCGCGCCAAAGGCGCTATTGTCACCTTCATGTCGTATTTCCCACTGGGAACTATCTTAAATGCCATTTGTCCGTTGCGTCTTTTAGTATGCTATTTGGTAACTCTCCCCATGGACGGTTTTGCACTGTATATATAGGTTTTGAATTGTGTTTGCTGTTATCGTTCGTTTCTGGCTGTTTGCAGAATATACTTCCCATTCCAAGCTTGTATTTCTCCCTCTACTTAGCGGGGTTGGGACGCCTCAATAGCTAGCTTAGTAGTCTTTGGTCACTGAGTCTTTGTTCTCGTTCGCAGATTAAGTGAACTCGTGGTAGTTTCAACCCTAGCAGAGAGCAGACTCTCCCCACCCTTGGTTGTAATTAGAGCATTTCGGGGCGAAATTCTGGTGCTTTGCCGACTTAGCTAGCCGGGTTCGACTGTGTTAGTTACTTCTCTGCTAACTAATAACTTGTGTCTTTAGTCTTTACTTAGCATATTTTACTTGAAATGTATCTGGATCTTGTTCAACAATGGAATCTAAGGTCTTAGTTTAAAACTCGTTAGCTGGATATCTCTGCACATAGTAATACCCATTACAATCTACTCACAATTCATATTTACCAATAGAGATTGATCAATTTAGTCTTGACATTTATACAATTAATTTGTATGTCGATTTGTTGAATGCTACTAATTCACAAATCAAATTACTACCAATTATCACTATTGATTAACTGGCAAACAAATCACTTTTCAAGTAACTGAACCTCAGTGTTTCAATGATCATGATGAATTTTTTAAACTATCTAATCGCTGAATCTGATGGTTTAATTTCAATTCATTTGTAATTGTTGAACCAGTCAAATTATTATTAAACTTGACACTAAATGATAAAGCATCAGGATGTGATATTTATATCTATGTGTATAATACTATGACAACAATCATCATATGATGTAGTAATATAATAATTTTATGCATAAAAATACTTTAATTAATTGTTATTTGTTTGATAACATTAACCATTCTCATGATACATTGGTGTTTTGTTCAATTATCAAATTGTGTATTAGTTACTTTAATTTATTTCAGATCTAACTAACCTATTTATTGATTATTTGGAGTAACTTGTTTCAGGGCATTGCTGTCACACTATACGAACTTGTTCATTATTTTTTTAAAAAAAAACAAAACAAACGAACCCCGATCATTTCAACGTTTATTAAATAATAATAATAATAATAATACTATTACATATATTTTAGAAAACACGACACACCTAATGGATGTGATAACTGTGATATGTATTTATAGTATATAGTTAGTTATATAGTTATATAATATACCCTTGTGGGCCAAGGTTATTTTACATTGGTTTTCAGGAGAACCAGACACCATCCCGACTTTCACGTGACAACCCAAACAGTACAGCTCAATCCCGCTTCGCAGGAGAACTAAACACCATATAGGCGAAGTTGTACTGCTGACTGTAGAGGGGTGTGACAGCAGTAATGTGTTTCCCTCGGACAACCAACATCTGCAGCGATGCTGCCTTCTCACAAGGAAGAAAGGGGTTAGGAAACGTTGACCCTAAAAATGTTACATCTCACCGCACCTCAAGGGTTTCCATCTCCGGTGGTAAGGCCATTTGAAGAACGGAGCTAACACATTAAAAACCTCCCACGAAAAGACCGTGCGCGACTGGCTTCCAGCAGTTGTCCCTTGGGCTCTGCGGTCACGCTCCCAGGTCGTTAAGACCAACAATAATCCGACTTCCTTCTCAGGTTCCTCAAGAAATACCCTCGCACGATGTGGGCAGCCGGGAGGTCATATCATCCCTCATACCCGTAACAACACACGAGGCCAAGTCGGTCACATCCAAATTCCTCCTACACCTCCAAATAAATCTTTTATCTCCATGACTAACCCTTCTCACGTCTCTTTATCACTTCGCACCGCTAGGGCAAACGATTCGAGTACGCGGAACGTTATTCCTGGTCTCCTGAAACTACGCTTTAAGATACACATAAGAGCTTTCAACGTCCGAACACTGTGCCAAATAGGACAACGGGCTTCCTTAGCTAGGACTTTAGAGTCTAGCGCCATCGATGTGTGCTGCGTCTCCGAAACGCCAATACAGGATCCGAGTAGCGTCATTCATTTGACCTCACTATGTCAAAGTGACGAACCGACTCGATTCACACTTCGTGTATCTAGAAGCCCTGATATTGCTTCCCGTGGCCTCGCTGGCGTAGGTATAGCATTGAGTCCTAGGGCAGAACTAGCTCTCTTAGAGTGGAAACCAGTAGACAGTCGTTTGTGCGCTGTCCAACTAAACGGAACATTAAGGATCCGAAAAGATAGGGACACTCGTCGTTGCCTTTTCGTCATTTCTGCCTACTCTCCCACTGACTGCAGCTCAGACGATGTAAAAGATGAGTTTTACAGAAAGCTCTCCGACCTTCTCCGAAAAGCTAGGCACTCTTATGTAGTAATAGTGGCCGGTGACTTTAATGCTCAAGTAGGTGAACTAAGTGAAAGGGAAAGACACCTAGGTGGATCTTATAGCGTCGTGGCTCGAAGAACAGATAATGGCGACCGTCTGTTGCAGCTATGCTCAGATAACCGCCTGTTCCTTGCAAATACTAACTTTAAGCATAAGGAAAAACATCTTTTAACATGGCGACCCCCTAATTCGTCCCAACTTCGGACCCAAATAGATCACATCGCTATCAGCCACCGATGAAGGGGCTCGACAGAAGACTGTCGCTCATTTTGGAGCACATGCTTAGATTCAGATCATGCTCTAGTGCGAGTGCGTATTTGCCTGCGTCTTACTGGACGTAGGAAAATGCTGCAAGGAACCCTCTTAGGGGCCTACTTAATGATAGTCAAGCTAAGAATATATTTCAGGAACAACTAGGAAAACAGTTAAGCAGCCATGTATGTGATGCCCACCCCGAGGCAGCATGTAATCATATCCGATCAGTCAGATCGGATTACGTCCAGTTCCCAAATTCTACCTAAGACCTCAGTTAATCTCACTGCTAATACTGGACCACCATCCTTAATAATCTCAGGAGTAAACCTGTCAGGGCCTGCTACTTTCCCTCGCTTCAGATTTCCTATAGCTCTTTCAACTTCGTAGAGTCGGAGGACCTACATTAACTTGCCATTCAGGTTGACTAGAGATCGTGGGAAACCGAAGTGTGGCTGAAGGCCAGTTGAACTGATCCCTAAAGTGTTCTGCCCATCGATCCAATCTCCTGGATTGAGAATGAATAATATGTCCATCTTTCTCTGAGATTGTTTCGCTAACAGTCGGGTTCCTAATACTGGTTTCCTTAAAAAATCTGAACAGTTGTCTGCTGTTACCTATTCCCGCTGCCTTTTCCATCTCTCTTGATTTTGCTACCCACCACTGTTCACGATCATTGCGTAGGCTTCTTGTCAACATGCGCATAAGCTGATTACGCTCCACCGACTGCCTCGACGAGCGATGTTTTATGATGTAAGAGTATGTTGGGAGAAAGCTAGAGGTGGCCAAACCAAAACATGTCACAAATCCATGAAGTCACTGAGGAGTGGACTAAGCTATGTTGTAAACTACCTGTTTGGGATCCGCGAGACGATAGTAACCGATGGTTAGAGACGTTGAATGACATGGCTCAAAATCGTTCGCAATGGCGCAGGTGCATCCACTCTTTGTGTTCTCCCAAATTCTAATCTTCTGAATTCTTCATGTCCTTTATTTTCTTTCCAAATTTATTTCACTGGATTATACTCTTTGAATAACATCTTCAAACCCTAATGTGTTCCGATTACTGCTTATACTTTTACTACCTCTACCACTACGGGATTTGAGTTGACAACTGCATTTCTGTGCTAATGTGTTGTGACAACGCGAACTGACTTACGTACGTACGAAGTTCCACGTTGTTACTGACTGAGTGATAGGCTTTAACGCTACAATTTGAATAGTACAGCTCAATCCTGTGGCTCAACCATATAGTTATCAAGCGCCCTGGTAGACCAATCGCACAATTCATATGCACATTCATGTCACATATATAGATATTCCGATCAATGATCGCGTGAATCAATTATCCACAGCATGAACAGACCAGTATATAGCATATACATTGTTTGTATTTGTTGTCGTTATGGTAACCTGTTGTGTGATAGTATAAAATGGTTATATTTATAAGTAACATTGTTCAATGTGAGTTGGACTACGTGTTACGTATGCCCGAACACCGATTACCATGGCGTGCAATGCTAACCGGAGTTCGGGATGGTTGGAAGAAAGTTAGGGGCGGCCAAACCAAAACGTGGCATCAGTGCCTGAAGTCACTAACTTGTAGTCTGAGCCATGTTGGTAGATGCAGACTACTTGGTTGGGGTCCGCGTGTCTATCGTAACCAATGGTTGGAGACTCTGGGTGACATGGCTCAGAATCGATCACAATGGCGTAGGTGTATACACTCTTTGTCTTCCCTTAAACTAAGAGATTAAAACCGCTTCATATCCTTCTTTTTACAAACTAATTCTTTCTTCCTGTACTATATCCTTATTGCAATCTTTCTTTTATATATCACCACCTCTGAATTAACTACTTTTATGAATCCGGTGTCCATGTTGTTGTGTTATTGAGGTATGGCAACTTGGACCGATGCATAGATGTGCCTGATCCTACGTTGTAGCTGACTGACTGACTGACTAAATGTCAGTCACAAATATGTACACATGTATATGTTCTTTACTACTTCTTTGTTCGTCTGGACTGTCACCACGAGTTGTCTCTTTTTCTGTTTGCTTTTAATTTTTGTAAGATTCTCCTCTGTATCCTTCAGTTAGAAAATGTCGAATTCAACATGTATATTTGTCCCAGTTGTTGTGTTTCTACTAAATTTCGAGGAAGAAAATGTTAAACGTATGCCAACACACATTTATACGATGGGCTTTTAACTACAGACTTTTTATGATTGTTAGTGATAGTGTCAAATATGTAACTTAATAATTACAAACTGACTCATTCGTCCAGATACAAATTTGAGTATCATTTTACTTCTGAATTTTGGTTATTTGAGTTAAACATCTGTTCTATGTTAAACAGATACTAATTGATAATTTGACGTACATGTATACATGTTTATCTACTTTTTCTTGTTGATATGACTGAGTTTATTTATTATTTGAACACAAAATTATTGGTAGAGACATGTATGCGCTACACAAAGTAGTTATAATAAATTAGTGTGTGGTTTGGGACACTGTCCGTCTGCCAAAATTAAAACAGCTGGTTTTCCTAAGCGGCTACTCTCCGTGAATTCGACCCATAGGTCTTATTAACAAGGGAATAGACATAAAGTTAGGAGATGCGATCCCATGGTAGTCGGTAACCAACAACAGGTTTATATGCCATTTGTCCCCTCAGGATCCTGGAGCCCGTGTGCTTTATTGGTTTGGAATCAGGGTTTTCCAACACCCCTAGTTGTGGATCCTCCGTACCTACAAACCTGGTTAAAATACCTTACATTCGATTTTCATCCTCTTAATTTCGTAAACAACATCCCGATTCTCCGATAAGGTTCTCCCAAACACTCAGCAGAATGAATAAATATGTAAAGTAGGAAGTTTATATCTCACTAATCAATAACTCTATGTATTGACTTCTACTTCAACTACTTTCTATCATTTTATCATTACAACGTAATTTTTTTCTTGAAATTCTTCCTTTTCTTTTCTCAAGCAACAATTATTAGAGACAACATTTGAATGTCGCCGTCTAGAAGCAGAACGTGCTCGTGTAGCTGAACGTAATTCTGATTTACAACGTGAACTAGAAACGACTAGAATTTTGGTAGATTCATTAAAACAAAATTCGGAATGCAAACCAGTTGAATATTCGAATCATATTAGAAAAAGTGCACCGATTATCTCATCAAATCTACGTTTACCCTCTTCAATGCCCAATGGTGATAATAATAATAATAATGGTATTTGTAATAGTAATGGCTTGTATTCAAAGGGATATAAAGTCAATCAAAGATGTCTTAGCGATTCACTTGAAGATTGGGAGGATAGCGATCATGATCACGTTGATCTTAATGTTTCACCATCACATCAAATTCGATCATCAGTATATCCACATGAAGTTAAGAGTAAATTAAATCATCACTATAATCGTGATTATTCGTGCATTGTAAATAGTCGCTTAAACGATGAGTCCCGTAAGCCAGAATATAATTATCCTAATAATGATGAGTCAAGATATTTAAAGAGTAAAAAACGTCATTCAAAATTACGTACAGATTCAAAACAGTTAGATCGACTTGCTTCTAAAACACAAGAATTGGAAGAGTTTGCTATTCGATTGCGTGAACAATTTAATGAGGTAAAACTTAGTATTTTATTTCTAGTTACCCTAATTTTTTCATATTCTAATGTTCTATGACAATAACTGTGATTAGCGATTAGAAACTTTATGGGACACGTCTCGTCGGTCACCATGGTTCAAATGCATTGACACTTGACTTTCTTCTAGATATTATGCTTCAATATTACTTAATACTTTTTATTCCATCAATTCCATTCTTCCCGAATCTCTGCCTAAACCTAATCTTTTCTAAAATCACTGATGCTACTATTTCTACTACTCTGATATTTGTCTTGATAACGTTCAGCTCGTTGTGCTGATATGGTGCGGCAGCTTAAACTGACCCATATATGTGCCACGTTCTAAAACTCCTGGCTGACTAAACGAATCTCTCATCTTGTTACCTCTTTTCAGTTAGTTTCATTGATGAGTAATATACTTGACATGTATGAAAGAGTACTGATTAAAAGAAATCACTGTTTCGTAATTTCTTCAACTTGATCTATTCTCTTTTCACAAGTTTTTGTTTGCTGTACACATGCAATCAGTTTCTCAGTGTTTGTTTCGTTTATATGGTAGGGATTTCTTTCCCTTTGTTTTATGAACATGTTTAACACACTATATTTATGTTAAATTAAATAGTATTTCTTAATTTGATATTGTACAGATCTTATCAGAGGAAGAGGAGAATTCTGAAGTACGTGTGAGAAATGTGATTCCCCAACTCTTCTGTATACGTATATTATATACATGCATGTAATCAACGTATAATTAGCGTAGGCTTTTCAGCTCTTAGCTTATATCATACTTCCTATTTTAACGAAAATATGAAGATAGCTTTCCACTCTAGAATTGCATGCTAATGTTGACATCTTTTTCATATTTAAGATGCATGACTTTTATATATTAGACATCATTGTTCTTAAAGCTTACTAGGTAAGGCGAACAAAGTATACGGTAAGTTATGTAATTCATGGATCTATTATTTTAAGTTCTATGTCACTCATTATCAGAAAGGTGGTTTGTTTAAGTCATGTATTAATTCATATACATCAAAGCTCCGTCTCTCGTATTGTTAACTGTCATCATTCATTATTTTGTATTTAGTTAGTGCTTGATCATGTTTTTATAATGCTCACTTTCTTTCAAGTTGTGTATTTAACTCATCGCTTATTGGTTTGTGTAATTGTTTGCGAGTCACACTAAATGTTAATTACGAGTAGATACTTGGTTGTCCAAACCAACTTAAGTGTTGCAGGATGTGAACCTGCAACTTAGTGACTACAAGTCGACTGCTTTAACAACTGGGCTATCGGTTTACTTTCATTTACTTCTAATTTAAATTCGATAAGTTTCAAAGTTTCTCACAGTTCTTCTGTATAATATCACATCAAATGAAAATGAAGTTCAGTAAATTTATTCACTAAAATCTCGTTTTTCCTACATTTCTTTTATCGGTCATCTTTCACTAGCATCAATCCTCCACACAAGTTAATTCTTCATCTGTAAACGTGTATCCCTATCTCACGGATGTTCATAATAATCAACATGCTCTGAAAAATACTCCTTTAGTGATACCAAAGAATCAATGTCAGTTAAATGGTTTTAATTACGAGCTTGTTGATGAAGATGGTGTTGATGTTGAACAAAGGGAGCAAGATACCGATGCTGATTCTTCAGCGTACACAGATTTAAGTCAAGTTTCTCCGGTATCTCAACCTGCTGATTCAGGTTAGTTTTGATATTCAGATTGTTTTGTAGCCTGTTTTTTGTGATATGTTTTATTTATTACACTCTGTACGGCTATTGCAACCTGGACCGATGCATATATGTGCCTGGTCCTACGTTGTAGCTGACTGACTGACTGATTCAAAACAATTAATTCTAGTATACTTTCGTGATGAATTTGGCTTGTTTTTGCTGAGATTTTTATTATAGATTTCTTGTTTAATAAAATATTTGATAGACTCATTGATTTCACACTGTACGGACACTCGGAAATGTATCACTGCAAAGTTCAGTAACGTCTTTATTTCTCTAAAAGGTCCTAAAACATAATCTGTTGAGTACAGTTTTTCGTACTTCGATTTTAATCATGCTTTTCACTAGTGGTATAAATAATAATAATAATACTATGCGACCGTTGTATTTGAAATATGTAACTAAAGCAGGTTTCTAATCTGTCACCTCATGAATTTTAGACATTATACTTGAATCACTAAATCACCTCCTTTCTTAGGCTTATGTCTACTTTTACGTTATATATATTATGTAATGATGGTCCAATAATTTCATTAGTTACTGAACAATCATCAAACTCTATTTTTTTACGATCCTGGTTACTGTATGATTCTTTTTGTTCAACACTTCATTTCTTTTTGTTATAAATGTTCCGAATGGAACTGTGTTTGCAAGAAGTTTTAAAGTTTCCATAATGTTGAGCAATACGTTTTGGTTTGTCATAGTGATAAACAAAATATTGATGATGTTTATTTTATTTTATTTCAACACATAGATAATGGCACAAAGAGGCACCAAATACATATGCGCCACACAAATCTCATTTGATATGTGTGAGGGCTGTGATACTGCCCGGGTGCCCAAACCGAAGTAGGTGGTTTTCTTAGGGGGCCACACCTGGAGCCTTCGACCTGAAGGTCTGATACACAAGGCAGTGGAGCATCGTAAGGAGATGCAGTCCGATGGTAGCCGGTGACCAACAATTGGTTCATACGCCATTTGTTACCGCAGGAAGCTGGAGCCCATGAGCACCATTGGTTTAGAATCCGGTTAAAGCGCCGGATATTCGCTTTTCGTTCTCTCATTTTTGTAAACAACACCCCCGCCACGAGAAGGCAGTGAGTAGGACTTCCCTGGTAGAGGCTATATACGCGTGGCCATGTGGGATCATTTCGAGAGGGAGAGCGGACTCTCCCCACTCTCGGCCGTACCAGGGCATTTGGGGGCAACAACAATATGATGGTAGAGCTTGTCACTACACTCTACTACTCTAGAAGTAAACAATCAAACGAGGTGTAGTGAAAAGATATCAAAACTAATCAGTAGGTTAGGTTGATTTCCTAATGAAGTGTAATCTTTTTATGAATAATGTTTAGCATGAAGGTAAACATGATTAATGGGTGTATAAAATATAACTGGATTGTATGGTGAATAAGTGGAATTCAAACTTGAGTTTAGTTGTCGGCTGTCATATTAATGCATTATAAAACAATAAGTTTCTGGTTCTGTTTTTCTTTCGACTTTTTGGTTGTTAACTTTTAATCAGATTCAGTTTTTGTCAATGATAAATACTATAAATCAAAAATTTCAACCTTGTTCATCTAATCAATAGTATTGAGTATTCAGGTCATTAAGTCATACATCTAGGCTTTTCACATCATACAACATATTTATGTATATGTTATCATTGTTTACACTGTCAAATTTCTGACGATTAATAGTCATTATTACGATTATTTCAAGAGTTGACGTATTGAATATCTATAATCAACTTGGTGTATGTATATTTTTGTGTATATGTAACTATAACAACAACAACAACAGTAATGACAACAATTTACACTGTTGGTGTTAACATTATGCTTAAGGTGATTCTATCTGAATGCATGGATTATTCATTTGTTCAATGTAAAAAGTAGTTTGTTTACATTGACCTACTAAACAAGATAACAGTTTATATAGACATATATATGTACTCGTGAAATAATTATTGGAAATGATGCACTCATTGTTTGTAACAATCTACATTCGAAAGAAACTAAGTATGCTTCATGTAATTATCATTCTATCCGCTTTCTCCATTTTTGTTTAACTTCATCATAGACCTATTGATAGAAATAACACTCTCGTCAACTGAATTCTCGGGTATTGATCTCCTTCCAGGAGGTCCACTTATCGACTTAGAATACGCAGATGACATAGTCCTGTTTGGTGAAGACGCTGACAAAATGCAGAGTTTTCTGGTAGCACTAAGCAACAATGCCAGAATGTTTGGGATGCGCTTCTCTCCCTCTAAATGCACGTTGTTGCTTCAGGACTGGTCTGCGTCAACACCTGAACTAAGGATAGGGAGTGAAGTAGTCGAACGTGTTGACAACTTCACTTATCTTGGAAGTGTGATCAGCCCTAATGGGTTGGTGTCTGACGAAATCTCAGCACGGATTCGAAAAGCTCGTTTGGCTTTTGCCAACTTGCGTCACCTTTGGCGGAGGCGAGATATCCGTCTATCAATAAAAGGACGAGTATACTGCGCGGCAGTCCGTTCTGTCTTACTTTACGGCAGCGAAACATGGCCTTTAAGAGTGGAAGACACCCGTAAGCTACTAGTATTTGACGACAGATGCCTTATAAACATTGCTCGTATCTGCTGGGATCACCGGGTAAGTAATAGTGAGGTTAGACGCAGGGTATTAGGGAATGATGGTAAATCAGTTGATGAGGTTATGAATCTTCATCGACTGAGATGGTTGGGCCACGTAATACGTATGCCTGAACACCGATTACCACGACGTGCAATGCTAACCGGGGTAGGGGATGGTTGGAAGAAGGTTAGGGGCGGCCAAACCAAAACGTGGCATCAGTGCTTGAAGTCACTAACTTGTAGTCTGAGCCATGTTGGTAGATGCAGACTACTTGGTTGGGGTCCGCGTGACTTTCGTAACCAATGGTTGGAGACTCTTGGTGACATGGATCAGAATCGATCACAATGGCGTAGGTGTATACACTCCCTGTCTTCCCTTAAACTAAGAGATTAAAATCACTTCATATCTTTCTTTCTACGAACTAATTCTTTCTTCCTATACTATATCCTTATTGCAACCTTTGACCTAACCACTCCTATGAATCCGGTGTTCATCTTGCTGTGCTAATGAGGTATGGCAACCTGGACCAATGCACATATGTGCCTGGTCCTGCGTTGTAGCTGACTGACTGCATATGTTTTATAGTTTTGTTCTTCTCAGTTGGTATGTCATCTCATCGAAGTCATCATATCTTTTTTTCTATTTCATTATGTCTTGTATTGTAAAGGCTGTTTAGCTAATCTCTACGGTTTTTAATATTGAATTATTTATTTTAGTGTAATGCAGTAACCAAGTACTAATTTATTGTTTTTCGATTGTCATGACCACTTTTCATATCAAAATGGATGACATTACTATAATACTTTAAACAAACGATTATGATCAGATAGTGTAACCAAAGTGGTTCGGTTAATGGTTTCGAATACGAACTTCCTTCCTCTTACTTTAGGCTGAGCAGCTGATTATTATTTAACATTAACCTTCGCGTTCAGTATGGTTTGAATCCAAATACAACAATCTGTATTCAGTGCCCTATAATTAATTAGATTACACTAAGAGATAAACCAAATTAAATTAGATGATAAATGATGTTCAAACTGAATGTTTGAGATTCCAGTCTTTCACTATTAAGTTATTTAAAATTAAATTGTTTAAAATGATCTTTGTAGATAAATAATATATAGCCTCTACCAGGGAAGTCCTACTCACTGCCTTCTCGTGGCGGTGGTGTTGTTTACGAAAATGAGAGGACGAAAACCGAATATCCGGCGCTTTAACCGGGTTGGTGGAGATGGAGAGTCCACCTAGGGGAGTTGGAAAACCCTGATCCCAAACCAATGGTGCTCATGGGCTCCAGTATCCTGCGGTAACAAATGGCGTATGAACCAATCGTTGGTCACCGGCTACCATGAAACTGCATCTCCTTACGATGCTCCACTGCCTTGTGTATCAGACCTTCAGGTCGAAAACTCGGGGTATGGCCCCTAAGAAAACCACGTGCTTCGGTTTGGGTACCCGTGCAGTATCACAGCGCATATGTATTTGGTGCCTCCTTGTACCAATATCTATGTGTTAAAATAAATAAATAAATAATTAACGAAGAATATAAATCTCGAATCAAGGCTTCAAGTTATGTTTTTTTATTCTGTGCTCATTTTTCTACATTATATTTAATGTCCTTATCATATTAAATTTGAACGTTAATAGATTGGTATCTTAATATCTAAAGCACTCGGTTTTTAATCTACAGGTTTCAAGTTTGAAACCTACTTTGGTTCGAACATGTAGATAGTGTGATTTGGATTTGAATGTATTAGCATGTACTTGATGGATCAGTTAAGTCAGTGGTCTTGAGTGCTGTTAGAGGTATGAGGATGGTTATCACTTCCCGGTTGGCTACACCATGGAAGGGTTCTTCTGGAGGCACCTGGAAAGGAAATTGGATTAAAGGTGGTCATAGTGACCTGAGGGTGTGACAGCAGTGCCCAAGAGACAACTGCTCGAGGTCGGTCACACACGACGTTTTGTGGGTAATTTTCGTGTTAGTTCCGTACTTGTTGACACCCTACCTCCAGAGACTGATGTTAGTGCACATATTCGAATAGGCTTGTCTTAGATCATGAATGTATTTTTTTGTACTGAATTAACATTCATTGTTTGGTGATTTGTAATATTTTAACCTGTATGTTACTACTGATTGGAATATGGTATTTCTTTGCTTTAATGGGTTCGTTTTTTTCTACAGGATGCCAGAATACTAAGCTAACAACAAATAATTTGCAAACTAACACATCACATAATGGTCAATCGATGCTTCAACATCACTCGCAATCTGTCGGGTTTATGCCATCAGTCTCGAAGAATATAAGGAGTAGTTCCCCCTTATCTTCTGGTATTTATTATTATTATATCTTGTTTATATTTTGCTTTAAAATTTCTGTACATTTTGTTCATTTCTTTTCATTGATCTTTAGTTTCTTTTTTACAGTGATTACATACTATCAATTGTATCATTCTGTTATTCAGTTCTATTTGAGTTCACTTATTTGTTACTCTGACTTTTAAGATAAATAATCTTACTATGATACTAGGTTGGTGGAATTTATTGGGTTAGGGAATCAGCTTTGTAATATTGTTGTTTTGATAACCTTAACCTCCCGGTGAGAAGTTGATATTTTTTTCTGAGAATATCTCGTTGAATTTCTGGGTTCAACGCTTGATGATGAGTGTACTAATATCTTCAGGGCGATAGTTTTTTACGATTTCAGATGTATCCAGCCGTTAATAATCCGATCCAAGGCGTAAATAGGTACATCAACTGCGGAAAGTTAAGGGTATCCAAAAAAGCCACAAATAAGTAAATAAAACATTCGGTAAGAAATATCAACTATATGTAAGTGACATTCATATCACATTCTTGTCTAGTCGAGCGTATTTTGCGGATCTAACTGTATGCTGTTCTAGTATAGGAGATAGTAATAATCACCCTTATTGGGTTTCCAGCCACAATTTTCATTGTGAGAGCTGTTAATATAATCTAGATACTCAAAATTAAGTAAAGATCCGTTTTAGCATGTAACTCAGATGGTTGAGAACCACTGTCTTCATTATTAATTTACTACATGCTATATTTATATAGTCGTACATTTTTCCTGTTAGTGTTCAAAACGATCATTAAAGCTTCTCAATTATAAGCCAACTTAGCTGTTAGAAAATATAGAACACCAATTTAATGCTTTATATAGTATCCTAATCTTAATAACAGTCTCGATTTATAGCTCTATCAAAAATCTATGTTTATACATTGTATTCCTTATGAAATAGTCGAATTGAATTAGTCGTATATAATAATAATACTACTACTAATAATAAAGTCCTCTTAATTAAGTAATATGATCGATTCACATACAACACACATAGAACAAACAATTCAATCTACTGTAATGCACAAATTTATTATTATCATCATTATTACATTTTTAAGAAAACATGTCATCTGTTTTAACTGTCATTTCTTTATCCATGTATCATTGGATGATGATTATCAAGACGTTTTCATAGAAAAAAAAAGATCCTCTTTGTTGCTATAGGTGTATATATCTATATCTATCTATTGATGAATTGAATGAAATGAATTACAATTTTGTATTATAGCTTGATAGATATCATTTTTGTTTCATAATCATTTAATCTTATATCTTTTTTACAGAAATGGGGGGGGTACAGAACTGTATTTCCAATAAATTATTAGTTGATTAAGCTAAGCAACTCAATATTAACACATTACTACTTGTATTTGCACGGTAGTTATCGTGAATATCCAATCACTTAACAATATTAAAATTTGTAATATAGAAGGTTCGTTAAAATGACTTACGTTATGGTTCACATATACTGAGATTTTAAATCAATAATCGTTGAGAGTGAAGAATGTGTAGATGGTGGTAGCTTTTGTGTATCTGATGAGTTCATCATTTTACATAACTGCTAAACATTAAGTATCATAAACTGATTCTAATTACCATAATTTATTCATTTGTTTGAAATAAAAGATGTGGTATGGTTCCCTCAAATTCTGCTTAGGATAGAACTTTTGTTAAGTACAGATGCCTTAGAAATATTGCTGGCATCTGCTGGGATCACCGGGTAAGTAATAGTGAGGTTAGACGCAGGGTATTAGGGAATGATGGTAAATCAGTTGATGAGGTTATGAATCTTCATCGACTGAGATGGTTGGGCCACGTATTACGTATGCCCGAACACCGATTACCACGACGTGCAATGCTAAACGGGGTAGGGGATGGTTGGAAGAAAGTTAGTGGCGGCCAAACCAAAACGTTGCATCAATGCCTGAAGTCACTAACTTGTAGTCTGAGCCATGTTGGTAGATGCAGACTACTTGGTTGGGGTCCGCGTGACTTTCGTAACCAATGGTTGGAGACTCTTGGTGACATGGCTCAGAATCGATCACAATGGCGTCGGTGTATACACTCCCTGTCTTCCCTTAAACTAAGAGACTAAAATCACTTCATTCTTTCTGTCTACGAACTAATTCTTTCTTTCTGTATTGTATCCTTATTGCAACCTTTGACCTAACCACTCCTATGAATCCGGTGTTCATCTTGCTGTGCTAATGAGGTATGGCAACCTGGACCGATGCACATATGTGCCTGGTCCTACGTTGTAGCTGACTGACTGACTGACAATAACAATGCTGGTAAGATGTTGTTATAATCTAATACAGGGATTATATTTAACATTCATTAATTTGACTAAATGAATTACGTGAAATACATTTTAATGAGGATTATGATAGTCCTGTGAAATTTAACTATTATTTCTTTTAGATTTAGTTTGTAATATTCTCAATTCTATTATTATTTTAGCATTTCGATTCAATGGTTCCGGTTCTAGACTTTCTGACCCAATACCATCTTCTTGGAGTTTCGGTAACATAATTATATCTTTAGTCTCTTTACGCAACATGTATATCCTATGGCTTAATTAATGCATGATTGAATTTAATCTACATGTTTCATCGACGCATATTTACTAAACCTTATTTAGCAATGTTGTCTGTCTCTTTAACAGGAATTTGGAACTTTTTATAAAACCATCACATTAACTGATATCCATATTCTCCTTCATTTTTACCAGCAATCCATTTTTCTTTCATTCAAACTGTTTATCTCTTTATTGTCTTTGTTGTTTTGGTTTTTATTACCATATTCATTTAATGCTTTAGTTATAAAGCATGATCAAGTATGTTTTATTCTAATTTACATGTTATTATTAATTGTGTGTATTTTGTTTTACTTTAATTAGATCCTAATCGATTAAAAGAATTACATCTACGTAATCGATTACAACCTTCACATTTACGATCAAGTTATCCAGTTGAAACTCAGGTTAGTTGGGCATTTTTTCTCTCTCGTTAGTTCCTCACTGTTGAAATTTTACAATGTTTATATTGATAAAACAAAAAAAAAGTGTGGATGATGAAGTTGAATTTTGTTGTAAATCATGGCAATACATAACTTACACTTATTACTCCTCGTGAAGGAGCATAGGCCGTCCACCAGCATTCTCCATCCAACCCTGTCATGGGCAATCCTTTCCAGCTCTTTCCATTTGTTATTCATCCTTTTCATATCTGCTTCCATTTCCCGACGTAATGTGTTCTTTCGCCTTCCTCTTTTCCGCTTCCCTTCAGGATTCCAAGTTGATGCTTGCTTCGTGATGCAGTTTGATGATTTGCGTAATGTATGTCCTATCCATTTCCATCGTCTTTTCCTAATTTCTTCTTCATCTGGAAGTTGGTTTGTTCTCTCCCAGAGAAGGCTGTTGGTGATAGTATCCGGCCAATCGATGTTGAGTATCTTGCGTAGACAACCATTTACACATACTTGCACCTTGTTCATGGTAGTTGAATGTACAAGTGTTGCAATACATTGGTTACAATAATATCAATTTTATTAAAATACGAAGCATTGGGAATCTCTCCGATGTTATGCAATACGGCTTTTAGATACTCTACCTTAAGTTTCACACATTTCCTATGACAGAATAACCTAAACTAAAGTTAGGGATTATTGCCTATTAAGTTAAAGCTGAATTCTTCAACAAATGATGTACTTTTTTAATTCTGATGTTTCAGCCTAAAGTCTTCGCAACTCAAACCATTTAAACATCATTATTGTTTAACATTTTTAATGCTATTGATACTACTATTGTTCCCGCTCCCTTTCTATGTATCTTATAAGTTTCACTTGACAGTGCTTATTTAATAAAGCGTGATTTAATCTAGAGTGAGGTCGACTTCTCTTAGCTCGAAGTGATTCGCTTCAGCCTCAATGCGAATGAACCATCCAAGTTTTTCCTTTTGCTGACTATCACAGTTGGTTTCATTTCACTTTTATCTGTCAGTAATACATCCTGTTCCCATGCCATTTTTAATTGTAAACACTTCTAATTACTGGGCAATTCATACAAACTACGTTTTCCAATTTTATAATGTATTGAATTGATATGTTCTATATCTAATCAACCTGCCAATAAATGTACCTATATATACATACATAAAACGGATTGCTCGTACTGACATGATACTGTCTAACAGACAAGGTCTCACACCCTATCAATCAAGCTGCAATAAACCCACTAGCATGAATAACTCGTAACGCGTGCACTATGCTTTGATGTTAGGTGGTTAATGGTAGTCTCTGGGGTACTGGACTTACATTTTGTGCCAGTTGGTCCTCATCATCAAGGCTTACCTGAAATCTTAATGGTACTGATATTCCCTGTGTGATGTGAACTCCGGTCACTCAGCCTCATAATCCAAAACGTTACCACTGAGCTAACCGAGATTTAACTTAATTATGGGACTTAGATCACTGTGTACTAACTATATATTTAAAATGATTTAGAACTGTTGGCACTGTTCTCTAGTTGAATAACTTAGATATGTGGTGATCAGCTTAAAACACAACACTAACTAAGCCGAACCACATTATCGTGCTACTTACCTTCGTGATCTATAATACTCGATAAACACTAAAGATTTTACAACCAACTCTTTTGTGTATATTGTTTCATGCCCATAGTTATAGAATTCCGATTTCCCCCCTCATTACAGGTGATCAATTCAAATGATATAGTTGGCACTTTGAGCCAAATGACTACCGACAACGTGAACCAATCACCTAATCGAATCAGAGCGAGTGGTCGAAAAATGCATCGTAATAATTCTCACAATAAAGAACCTCCTATAAGCAATGTTGGTAGCAATCCCACTTCTAGAACTGTTCCCTCTTCATTATCAAATGATTACCAAAAGAATTCGCATATCAAATCTAGGCACGATAATAATCTTGAACTAGAATCAACGCCTTCACCATTAGCCGCTGGTTATCAACCCCTTCCCAAAGATATACAATCGTTTAGTGAAGCACTTATCTCTGCATCTGTGGATAGTAAAGCTCTGGATTATGTGTTAACTACTCATCCTAATCTTATCAAGTCTGCCAATACTAATAACGATAACAATAATAATAATAATCATAACAGTAATGGCTGTAAATCATCACACTCCTTGTCTTCCAGTATCCAGAATGTAAATATCCCAACTTCGGATAGAAAACCTGTGAGTATCTACTTTCACTATATGTCTTTGCATGAGTTATTGGTACCTGAACATCCCCTACTTCCAGTGTCTTAAACAATTATATTACAAAGGTCATTAGATTGGGGGTTATAAAATCTTATCTTTGAGTTGTTATTTGACTTTATTTATTTATTTGAACACATAAATATTGGTACAAGGGGGCACTATATATATATATGACTTAAAATATACTCATTTTGAGTCCTACAACTGAGATATATCTTACACATGTTCAGCCACCGCTTATCCATATATCCAGTGATGTCTACTATAAGAGTACGTTAAAAGAAGACTAAGGTGATGAAGCGGAAACGTAGCACCAGTCCATAAAGTCAGTGAATGTTCGTGTGATCTATGTAGGGTGATTCGAATTTCCTGAGTGGAGACCATTAAGTGATATTGTAGTAAATGAACATTCAGGTGAGGAAAACCGATTTATTGTTTGGTGCACAACCACACAGTGGTTTAGCGAAATGTGAAAATCATACATCATTTGCACATCTTTTTTTAATTGTCTCTTAAAAGCTTCCTTGTTCCTTCATTTCTCTTATTTTGATTGCTTTCAATTTCCTTCTCTCTTTTCATTTCAATCTTCTCAACTTTCTGTTCTCAGAAATTCCACTTACGACTGGTCGTCCTACACACTACTCATATCTGCAAACATGAGTAGCATACATCTCAATATAACTTGTAATCGGCTATCATCATTTTTGATCTATATTTATTACCAATTTTCATGACAACTTGGGACGGCTGTGATACGGTTAATAAAGTAACAGTCGTCGCTCATCAGTGAGTTTTCAGTCAGTCAGTCAGCTACAACGTAGGACCAGGCACATATATGCATCGGCCCAAGTTGCCACACTTCATTAGCACAACAAGATGAACACTAAGT